GTAAAACGATAACGATACGTATAAAACGATAACCCGTGTTTCATAACTTTGAATGACGCCAGTAACATCGAGAGAACAACGAGGAGATATTAAATCGTAAGATCCATAAAAACGGATTTCCGCGGCAGATTGGAACGCGATTTTGATAAAGATTTACGCAACAGCGTGTAACTCGGGTCAAACTTCTCGGTTAACGAAGAGTTAGTTGCTCTCCGAGTGTTTTTTTTCCTTTTAATGGAGAATAGTCCGCATTTGTTTCAACACTGTACCGCAGGTCGTTTTGCGCGATGCGCGGTGAAATTGTTCGAAAATTTAACGAGGGAGTATCTGGAACGGAGCCAACCAGTGAAATCGATCGGACGGCAGAGCACATAAGCTACGCCTCTTTATTTATTTATGCTACGTATACGTGTACCATATAGGCCACCCTGCACGAGCTCTCCGGTCGACAAGTTCCAGCATTTTATGTGCGTCCACCTGGTTGGCGGCGCATCGACTTCGTCTGCGACCGCCTTGAATTTTTCACGTCCTTCTCCCCGCTTATCGATAACGTGAGAGAAAAAGAGAGAGATCGCCTGTAATGACGATCTCTATTTTTATACCGGGCCGCTCTTGGTGCCATCGCTTATCCACGGATCTTCCGCCTAGCGAGATACTCTCCCAGCGCAAACATAATAAAAGTTTCTCGTAAATCCGGTGTGCGAGATCGATACGGTGTCCGTTTATACTAGCTCATCAAGTTCGAAATCGATGATCTGTAACTTAGTTTCCCGTACAGAGTATCTCAGACTTATCGCATATCAAGCAAAACCTCTAATACATTTAAAATCGATTTTTACTTAGCGAAGATTTAATAGAAGGACCTCGTATGTAACCTTGCGATTCTCAGCTTCTGTGTCGCGGTGATTAAATTTAAAATTGTATTATATTTATGTTAAGAGATAAAGTAAAATTTTAAATGCCCGATTTGTTTTCAGAATAGAAATTATTGTTGTTGTAAAATTAAATATTGTTGTTAACAATCGTATGAAATTAGCACACAATTATTTTTTTTTTTATTATTACAGCCGGAGAGATGCAAAATTATTTTCTACGCAAGATGTTAAATTATGTCGTTTCCTCTTTTTCACAAAACTATTTTGTTATATACCTATATTGATTTTTTTCCGTAGACACTGGATGACTCATAGTAATTTTCGGTGCGTAATAAAGTTCCTCCTCCTCTTTTCGTAACTTATCTAATTTATCATCTGTAACACTTTCTGTAGAAATCGATATTACGTATGTACTGTAATAAAAATTGTTTGTACAGTAGGTTAAAAATAGATTCTATAGCAGTATTGACGATGCATGAAATCTATTAATCGTTTGTCCTACTTCACTTTGGTTCTTTTTGGAACACGCCACATTATAATATCTGTGTATTTATCAGCGTAAAATTGTTACAAACTCTGATGCTATAAATATATAATGGGACTATAATATGAATGCAGAACTTTTGTATTATATTTTATTAAAAAATTTAGATCATTTTTTATGCGCGCGTGTACTGAATGTGTTATCATCTCGTCATTTTATAATTTTCATTCATTCGTTTAATTATTTCATATTACATTTCGATAATTTGAAAATGGGCGTAATTTATCTTCAGCAGCTCGAAATTGCATAGAAATTTGCGCGCTTTAAATGCATTGGAATTATCAATAAGTTTCGCTTTCCAGCTAATTAAACACATTATTATCGAGATTATCAACGAGGTATTACGTATATTTTTAGTAGCAACAAGAGAAAAAGAGCAAAAGAGAGAATGTAACTTATCGTACATATTTAATAAGCAGTATACAATTTCACGTCATAAAAAAATCAAAAGTGATTAGTAAAGTAAAGAAAATTTGATCATTTATTTAGATTGTTAAAGCGTAATGTAAAAAAATATTTTACTTTTTACTAATTTACGACAATTATTTGGACATTATTGATTATTTTATTATTCTGGATAACGAGAATACTATAGAAAGGATATGAAATATTCTCAGGAGTGTAATGTCAAAATCGATGCGATAACAACGATTATCTCGTAGAATATCAAACGAGTTATTAATGTGGCGCCTAGGGAATTGTTCAGCTCGCGGCGAAGGCAGGCACGTGTTTCTCCAGGAAACACCTCTGCCTAGTAATTTCGTGTGTGCGACCGTTTATCAAGTCAATTTGCCGTAACGGTCGTTAGGGGCACGACAGGTTTGATAAGGACTTAAATCGATGATGCGGGAGTTCGTTGGCTCGCAGGGGGGCGGCCGGGCTTCTTATTACGGTCTTTAGCGCACGATAACCCTGAACTTTAAAGCTCGCTTGTGCCGACTAACACGGAAGCCGTGAGCACTCGGCTCTCGGCCCGTTCTCCACGTGGTCTCGAAGTGGCGAGCGAGCCGGTTAAAAATAATACAAATGTGAAAATCGACGGAGTCCGTGCATCGCACCCGAATTCACGAAATTGACTCGTGGGATCATTGTCTCTTTCCATCCGGGCGCTCCTCCTCTTCTTCATTCAGTTTTATTTGATCGATGCCTCCTATAATTGCATTCTCTTCGGCGTTATAGTCGGCTGTTCGCCCGCTCATCTCGCCACTTCGTTCTTCTCTCATGACCACTTGTCCCGCTTCTACATCATTCTGTTGAGGGCCGCACCTACAGTCTATTTTCGCACGGTGACTATGTGTAGGGGTTCGTTCTCATGAGACCAACGCGTCAGGAATATCATGCTGGTATGCTGCTCCTATATTTCTCTTCTCCTTTCTCTCTCTCTCTCTTCCTCCTTTCCTTCTCTCCTCTATTCTTTTTGCTCTTTGTATTTAATTCACACCAACGCATATCTTCTCGTTCCTTTAAGCGTATTTATAAAGGAAAATTCACGAGAAGGCAGCTGCGGGAAGGTAGATGGTACAAAGTAGTTGTAAAGTAGACTGATAGTGAGAAAATTACACAAGCTAAACTCTGGAACGCCACTAGGAAATTGTCTTCCTTTGAGAAATTTCTGAAGAGATTCTATAGATGTTGATTTAATTTGGTTATGTCTTTTTACTGTATTTTCTTTTTCTTTTTAAAAACAATTTCTGAAAACAATAAATATTTCTGAAAGTAATAAATATTTTATTCTTCCATGTCGATAAGGCCAGGAATTTAATATGGAAATAGAATAGGTGAAATACGCCGCCATAAAATATACATACCGATAATCGTTCGTAGGATGAATAATATCGTCCCACATAACGCAAAAATTCATCGCTATTTTCTTTTAAATAAATCGTGAACAAATATTCGATATATCAGAAATTTGCAAAATCGTATCTATAGTAATTATTGTGAAATATATAATTATTATAAATCAATATTTTATTTTTGACTAAATTATCATTAATTTTTTTATGAAACATTACAGATCCGTATATATCTTTATATCCATTTACGAAATTTGTCAATAATTCGTAATGGAATTGTTAAATATCAAATATCGAGCTGTCGTTTTGGATATCCTTTCAACGTGAGAACAATAAGGATCGCTAGAGTGCTAATGGATTCACGGCTTGCAATCCTGTATATGGACGCTTATTGATCTCTTGTTGCGCGCACGCATCGCGTGCTTACATGCATACGATAATTGAGCTGGCCTTAGCCATTGTTTACAATGATTATACAGGTGTAGCTGCGCAACCCATAATTCCGCGCCTGGGCGATGCATACTTAAACATTTTGCGCGAGAGATAAATTCTGAATGCTCTGATTCAGTCCGGTAACACGATCTGCATTTTATCACCCGCCAAACAACAACAAAATACTGCAAAGTGGAAATTCCTATTTACTCGTGACCAGACTTGGATATTTATTTTTTTACATGTAAAGTCATTCAACAATATTGCATTTTAATTATTCCATGCAACAATATTTCGATGCACACGCGAAGCATTATCCCGTTGCTTTATTTAACGCAACAATTCATACTGCAAATACTTCCGAATAAATAATCGATAGGTTAACAAATCGTTACCAACTGCACCAATTCATCCTGCCTTTAATACCGTTTAATTAACCGCTTGTCTTTGGAGAGACGGTGGTAATCAGTACCAGTCGCTTAACGAGGGACTTAATCGGGTCATTAGCGCGTTTGTCCGCGAGAATTTGCGCAACTTTAAACTCGTGCTGCTCTGTTGCATGAAGGTAATTTGACGTTATAGCGATCGTTAATAATTCGCTGGTAACCACAGTGTGTAGAGCGGAGCGTGCTTTAGCTCTTGTCATAAACATTACTTCACATTTACTGACAACTATCGCAGACTTTGCTAACACCAGACTTCGCCATATGACGCTGGCGCGTGCTGTATCGGAAATAAAATGATATTGCGGATTAATGAAAATATTCATAAAGATAACGACGGAAATACTTATTCGAGTTACGAGTTATGAATGTGTTATTGTATTTTACTATAGCGCATTTACAACGTCTTTACAGTAAACTGATGGATTAGTAGGCAAATAACGCTACGTGTCGTGCAATTTAAATGAACATGATTGTTTGAAGCAGAGAAAACGCGATTATATTTCTTCGAAGGCGATTGCGGATGCAATAAAAAACGATTTAATGCCCACATTTTTATTTATATCTAACTACACACAAGCGCGCGCTACACACGCGCTATTCATTCTTTAATTACGAAGAAATATATATTATAACGCTATCTAAGAAGATACTTTAGATATTTTCTATAAAACACAAAAATAATTTTAAAAATATGCACTAATCTTCTCAAAATATAAACTGTCAAAGTATGCAACTGTCAAGTAACGCACAACGCGCATCGAAATAATCCATCGGCGTCGCGAAAAAGTGGCAATAAATGCGAGTACTGATTTTATATGCTTTTCTTAAAATAGGATAATATATTAAAAATAAAAAAAAAGATATTCACGAATATATGTTTTATGGCTTATTTTTTTGTTTGTTTCAGGTGGTGTTAGTTTTCATTCTCAGTATAGCATCGCTTATAATATACTTCATCGATGCCTCCAGGTGAGTAACAAGACTTTGTATATCCAACATGCAGTGCATGGCCTTCGAGTTTCTTGTAAACATTCAAAAATATTTTTTCGTTCCTATATTTTTTGCGCAGTATTAGAAATAGCATGTAGAATCATAGTTTGCAGTCTTCTTTTGCCGCGGTTTAATTAAGAGTGCGAGAGTAATTACTAGTTTAATCATTGCTATTTTAGTCGCTCTTTCAGTGCTTTTTTTTTTTTAAGACCGAGACCTTCGCATAAGTTCATAAGAGATGCTGACCTAACATCCGTAATCTCATGCTTTTATGTTACAGCGAAGAGGTGGAGCGTTGCCAGAAGTGGAGCAACAACATTACTCAGCAGATAGACTTAGCTTTCAATATATTTTTTATGGTCTACTTTTTTATACGCGTAAGTAAGATTATTCCATCATTTGTCGTAATCAATCCTTCTGCTAATATTAAAATTATTAAAGAACAGTAATTCATAAATTCAACAATACGTATATTTAATTTTTTCTTTTGATAAAATTCTTTTCATAATAAATTTCATAAAAATTAAAGCCATAAAAATTTCATAATAATAATTCAGAATATATTATAAATAAATACATTTCCTTGCATAAAGACATAAACTAATATTATTTGAAGCTTTTAACTCGTAAATCATAATATTTGTTTAATTAATTGTTCAAATGTATATTTAATAAAACATACATATATTAGAAGTTAAATATACAATTAAAAATTAAATATACGATTTAAATTTGTTTTCTATCTACGATTCTTGTAGTTTATCGCCGCCAGTGACAAGCTGTGGTTCATGCTGGAGATGTATTCGTTTGTGGATTATTTTACGATACCACCGTCCTTCGTGTCGATATATCTCGATCGGACGTGGATCGGACTGAGGTTCCTCCGAGCCCTACGACTGATGACGGTCCCTGACATCCTCCAGTACCTAAACATTCTAAAGACATCGAGTTCTATTCGTCTCGCCCAACTCGTATCCATCTTCATCTCCGTCTGGTTGACCGCTGCTGGCATCATTCATTTGGTAAGATAATTGGACGTCTCTTTGTATTACATTTAAATAACAGTGTACACACTACACATAAATCTTGTGCCAATTATTTTGGATTTTGATTCATTAATCCCAGAGATGGCAGTCTCCTCTAATTTTATTATAAAATTAGCACAATTTAGATAAAAATGGACTCAATCAAAATATTTTTTACTCTCTTTATATAAAATATTCTTTTTTATATAATTAATAATAATTCACACATATAAAGCGTAGTTCAAGCGCGTATTTTGTGATCAATGCACATGTCAGAAAAATGAGAGAATTAGTAATTTTTAAAATAAATTTAAATTAAGAAGAATTAATTGGATTAATTAAAGATTATTATTGTTGTTATAAAGAAATTAAGGTTTTAGTAAAAATTAATTTTAAGAATATATAATACAGATAGTACATGTGTCATAAAAAATTATTAAACAACGATCAGACAGCTGTATTGTGATCCATTCTTTTTTATTCAATCCCTATTAATATTTAATTTTTTAATTAAGAAAATTTAATTTAACATTTTATTTCCTTTTATTATTCTCACATTTTTCAAGACATTGTACATGCAGAAATCTAAGATTCTGAAATACGAGTATGTTTCTCGTTCCACGTTTATACCATTGTGCAGTAGTAAAAGCTTATGGTTATGACCGACCAATATAAACCGCAATTTCACTCTTGACACTGCGGGATACGCAGTCCTGAATGTAATAACGTCGTGCCCGCAGCTTGAAAACTCAGGGGACCCTTTCGAGTTCAAGAACCCACAACAGCTTTCGTACTGGACCTGCGTGTACTTTCTGATCGTAACGATGTCCACGGTAGGATATGGCGACGTTTTCTGCCAGACGGTTCTCGGCCGCACATTCCTAGTATTTTTTCTACTCGTCGGTTTGGTAAGTTATCCTTTACTTATATTCTTCACGCGTAATCTCGAATTACTTTGACGTCGGTTAAGGAACCTCTTGGTTCCGCGCGCAATATCTCTCGAACGACGCGATTATCAAGAACATGTTCCTATTTTACGCGCATTAATGGATTTCTACATCCTGCGCCATAAAAGGATGCAGTAGCATTTTTATGATAAAGTGAGACATTTTTTTGGAAATCTATAATTGAGTGTTTGCTACGTGTTCCATTTAATAATAGTAAAAATTAAATAGATTTAAATAATGCAGAATGTAAAATAATATCAAAAAATTAACAATTAAATATCCGTTAATCCATATAATATTTTCATAAAAATGTCGTTTGCTGCATTTTTTATGGATTTTACCGTTTACGAAAAATACGCGTACGAGCTTTGCGAAACGTATAAAAAAGTTTTTTACTCGTTCTTTACTTTTCTCACTGAATTGATCAAGTGCACAACACAAAGACAAAAGAAGCGCAAGTCTAAAACTTCTACAACTTTTTTGTACTGACACAAGATCTTTTTTGTCTTCTTTTACTTTCTATTGACCTTGTATCTGTTCAGAGACATTGGAAGTTTTTTGCTTGATTTGTCTTTCTGTCGACTGTTCGCCGCGATATCGTATATTCTTTTCTCTTATCCCGAAAAATCTCAAAGTATTGCCGCGGATTCCGTTTGTTATTCGGCGCTTCGCATAGCTCAAGTTCGCCAAACTAAAGCCGTCAGCTCGTCGGTTTTGCCAAGGCTCGTACATCAGAGCGGAACGATTGGCGAGACGAGCGACGGTCTGAGATTTACGTGTCCCTCAAGTCGCGAGACGGTGAATATTTCGAATATACAGTGTGTTCTCCGTCCGTTGATCTCGTCTGCGTCTCGAAAAGCGCCGAGAAAATGATTCTCAATAATATTCACCTTATTTTATAGAAGTTTCTTCTCTAGCTTTATATTTTGTAACAAAGAAAAATGTGTCTATCTTGTGAAATAATGCTTTTATTTATGCGAGAAATGGCTTTTTTGGGACAGATATCAATAGCGGAGAACCGTGTTGTTCGTTATATCGAATTGATCGATTCGTTTGAACGCCGATGCGCATATTACCGCCCGTATTCCATGATGCGTATGCGTAAGCAGCTCATCGATCGTTCGCGTGAACCCTACGTACACGGTTGACTTCCTCGGGGATAACAGCTCGTTCTCGGAGTTTTCTCGGGAAATGCGTCGCACTTTTCCATCCTTTAAAACGTGAGCATCGCCGTTCAAACGTCCATTAGAACTGCGCCCAAGCTAATGTTTGTCCGCAGCTCATATAATAGAATATCCATAGATATCATTGATCTTATCGAGCCGGAGTGAGCATACTCTGAAAGTACAGTACATTCGACATACGTGAATTTGTGAATTGATACAGAATTGGTTTCTTCCCGCATAAAGGCTTAAATCGTTTTGCGAAGAATTAAATTCTCTTACTTTTTATAAAATAATTATTACGTATACTTTAAATATAATATAGAAAAGAAAACACACACATATGATCGCGTATCTTGTTTTTGAGATCAAGCAGTCGTCTAATTAGATATATTTCATCAATGTGCCGAAAAAGCTAATACAAAAATTTGCGAACTAAGCCTTTATCGTGATGTGACGACGAACGTAAAGAGACTAACTTAAATCATCAGGCAGCTTCACTCCTTTTCTCATACATTGTTTGAAACCTATCTAAAACGTGCTCCTTACTTCCTGTAATTTGCATATACGTCGGAAATATCGAGAAAATTCCCATTATCATGCGAAGCAGTAGAACTGTACTGGTTCCAATCTTAGCTATGACGACAAAAGAGACAAGATAACAAAAATACTGGCTACCTTTAGGCATATCTGCTTTATGCCTAAATCTTTATAATATATCATGTATTATATCTGTCGGATACCGTCGTGATACTTCATATCGTTGCAACAAGAGAGAAATTATACCACACAGTATAATATACGTTCAGTCAAACAAAAAATCTCAGAGACTGATAATACAAGTATAATTGCACTACCTAACCATCAATGTTTTTTCTCTAGCAATTTGCAACCAGTTTCAAATAACAAAATCTTTTTATCTCTGATATTATATTTAATTCTCTGTAGCTTTAGATTTGAATTTTCTCAAAGAAAAACTTCTTAAAGTACTGTGAATTGTCGAAAGAGCTTTAAGAGAATCATTAGAAGTAAATTCTCGGCATATAAAATTCACAACAGATTTTTCAAAAGCAATTTTCGTAATTTTTGTACTTACATGCCTCATTTTATAATTGTAAAGGAAAACAATTTTGTTCTTGTGATGTAAATTATCAGAATGCTCAGAAATTGCGTTTTAAACGTCTTTCGAATTAATAAAAATTTGTGTACGTCAGAATTATATTTCAAACTTCTTCGTATTCTTGACCGCGTCTTATGAGAACTTCAATCCAAGATACGGAGTTACTTGAATACAATCTGTTTTCGCAACTTGATAAAATAAGATTGCAAAATATATAATACCGATATAAAATAAAAATTGTCTATATTAGAATAATTATTTTTAAACATTCCAATGTTAACCGCGTTTATGATGTAAAAATTTGAATTTGATTATAAAATGTTTAATAAGATATCTCTAATTGACGTACAATTAATAACTAAATCATTATAATAAATAGTTTAAATAATTAATAATTAGTAAATGAATAATTTTGAAAATTGATGAGGCATTTTATGTAAAAACATCTTGCTTATATTAAACCGCGTGTTTTTTTCTGAATTGATTACAATTGCAAGCGGTCGAGCCTCTCGATTCTGGTGTCACGCGAAAATAGTGAAAAAAGTAATTGTGTGGTCATACATATTTGTACGACACGTTATAACTACTGAAAGCATATTTTACTCTTCCTCTTTCTCTCTCTCTTTCTCTCTCTCTTTCTCTTTTTCTCTCTCTCTCTCTCCTCTCTCTCTCTCTCTCTCTCTCTCTCTCTCTCTCTCTCTTTCTCTCTCTCCATCTTTCTCTCTCTTTCTTACGGCTTAAATTGGTTCTACGAGTTTTGCTACAGCCACTGTCTATCTTTTCTCTTCGATCGAAAAATCACTTGTAGCTAACAATGCGACGAATCGATTATTCGGGTACGATCGATTCGGCTTGTCATGCGAATGCTGCGATATATGCTGCGAATTTTTTTTTTCATAATGTTAACGAGTACCGAAAGAACTTTTACTAATAAAAGATCCTCGAAACTCTTGAAGCGATGGAATTCCGTAAATTCCATTCTACATTAAGTACTGAAACTTACGGAAAAAGAAAACACATAGATAATTCGTTTACAAAAAAGAATTATTTAGAAAGTCGAGTATATTGTCTAATTCTCACTTACATATTCTTGTAGTAACATTTGGTTAAAGAAATATTATATGAAATTTGAGAATAATAAAAGCGAAAGGTAAAAAGATTCGTAGATAATTGCACGATTGATTTGTTGATCTACTTATCCGTGGCCAGAGATTCGAGGTTCTCATTATTATCATGTAAATCTTTTTATATCAACTTTATATCGTGTTCTCCTTAAAGGGCACAAAGCCCGATGGCTTCGATAAAATGTTGGTATCTGTACGCGCTTGATCCTTGACTGTCCATTCTATCTGTATATGTATTTTCTGCGATGCTGATACGCTGCTCATCTTACGGCAAAAAAAAAAAAAAAGACATTGTTCTAGTCGCTTGAATTTTATTTTCCGAATTGTCGGCTGTAGTGACGCGGTACGTTCAGTAGAGAATTTCGAACGCGACAATAATTACAAAACGTAGCCGAAGCAACTTAGTCCGCTTCGCATTACTACGACATTCACTTCCCTTTCCCTACCGCAATCGATAAACAGCGAAAGCTACAAGTAATATAGTTTTATTGTATTACGGGACAGGAGATGCCATTTTGTCTCTCCACCGATCTTAACGCGTTGTAAACTTTGTTAGAGAACAGTTCTCAAGATGAAGTATTCGCGTGATTAACTTCAAGAGTTTTCCTCAAATTGGCAAGTTTCAGACTATCGGAAATGAAAAAATTGAGTTGAATTGTTTTCATGGAACGTCGATGGAATAGAGATTAAGTCTTCTTTCCATCGAACATTTTAAATTATACAGAACATAGATTTTTTATATTGTCGATAAATTTAATGCAGAGATTTTGTTCTTGATCTAGAATATTACAGCGATATTACTTCGATATAAATTTTATGCATTTTATATCTGGATATATAAGTTATTGTATTTCTATAGATTATCTGTTAAATTTGTATACCAATTATCGGAGATACCTAGTGTGCTGGAAAACGTATGGTATGTTATGCTCATTATACTTTTGTATGTCGCACCAAGAGGTTTGTAACCGAATCGTTAGAGCCTTTCAATTAGCTACGTTCACTCGGGAGTGAAAAATTATGTCCTCGTAACATTTAAAGAGGAGGTTCTTTGGAACACTTTCAAAAAGCGCTTTGGCACTCATTTGAAAATACATAATGTATCTCTCTGTATAATGGCGGGCGAAAGAACCGCTTTTAACCGAATTCAGTAGATATATTTTGTAGACAACGTAGTAAATTTTAAATTAGACAACGGTGTAAATTAAACAAATTTAAACAAACTTGAGGAATGTTAGACTCTTACATCATTAAGTTCAGTATCAAAAAGTGAAACAAAAGTGAATTTTTAAACTCTTTTACAATTATAAAAGAAGTATTTTAATGATATATACATATGTATGTCCATTTAATATTAGCTTTACGAATAATTAATAATTTTATCAACTTCAAATAATATTTTATAATATATATTGCTAAACGATTACTTTGTCATCGTGAAAAAGTACTAATGAAATCAATTATATCGTGTGTGTGCATTTATTAATTAATTTTATTAAATTCTTTTATAAATTTTGAATTTAATGTATGTAATTTAATTATATATAACAGAGAATAATCATGAATGACATATATTCTAATTTGCCGTTCAGTATAATTTATATAACTAGAGATGAGATACCATAAAGTAATGTATTTAAATATTCATATATAGAATTTTGCTTGTAAATTTTGAGTTTGCAAGTTAATTTATTAACATTGTCTGTATTATAGTGATGCTTATGAATGCCCGTGAAAGCCATTCGGTTACAAACCATAGGTTTGCAAATTCGTTTTATTTACAAATCCTGGAATTGCAAGTTAAGTTTTTCTTATAAAAATTCTTTATAATTTCAAATGTTCCCAATATTATCTGTTACAATTCCTGGGATTGTTAATTAATATCTTATTAAGTTCCAGAATACGTGATTTTCACAAGACATAGCTACAGTTCTGAATTCTGGGTACGTGAATTCTCACTTCGTCGCGTACTTATTACTCGGAGAAATTATCGCGGTCGTACAATTCGCTGCTTCGCCATGCTACTTTACAGGATATCTATTCCTGGCTGTTTCTTGAGAGCGTACATTATGTCGAGCGCAAAGTGTCGACACCTTTTTCTCACTATTCTGTCTCTTATGATAATTTCATTGATCGCAGTGTCTTTAGTTGCCTAGTATCTATAATACTTGCGACAAATGCCCAGTCGCGAATCACTTTTGGCGTTCATAATTAATGACAAAATTACGTGGCAAGTAACATGACACGATTTCGTCGATTGTTCACAATGGGTTGTATCTTTCTCATAGCATCTATAGATAATTTACATGGTAGCGCTTCCTTCACTTTACAAATGCACGAAACACAATCGATTAGTAAAGTTTCCATTCTGCTCTCGTTCACTCAAAAGAGTGGCTTGCATCTTTTTCACCTCTGCTTTTTAATTGCCAATTATAAGTTATATTCACTTATATCCTACTTTACTTATATTTTACATAATATTCACTCTATATATCTAAAAACAGCAGAATTATGTAAAATTGATATTTAATTTATCCTTATTTTGTCAGATTTTTCGTAATAAGTATTATTAAATTTTACTAAAAGTTTGAGACGAGTTTTAGATATAATAAATAGGTATAATAAAATAAAAATATTGATCCTACGAGATATGGCTATGTTGGCTATGTCGTCATTGATCAACAAATTATAAAATTATATTAAAAATGCGTCGATTCAATGAAGTTTTAAAAATATTAATTTTAATGTTGAAAATATATCTCTGCTGTTTTTCATAATTGCTATTTATCATTTTTTTCCTGCTTACTGTACTACTTTTACTTATGCTTACATGCTTTTTTAAATATTACTGCACACATAAATTTGAAACATACACACCAGATTCTGTATGGTTACAACAAACATCTTCGTGGTGTAAGTATACCGATGTACAATATATAATAATAATGAAATTTAAGGCACAAAATATAATATTATAATATAAAATATTTTACTCTGATTTTTGAACGTGGCTTAAAATCGATTTTGATCTCTTTTACATGACTTTCACATATTGAAATGCTGTGAAACATAATTATTATCATTACGACATGTAATATCACGCATTTTAATTTATTTTCCAGAAACGACTCTAGCAGAAATTATTTTACAAGTGTAAAAAATAATCGAGATTATATTAAATTAATTAACATTTTTACAGAATTATTTAACTTTGTAAAACATATGTTATATAATACAGTTTTGCATATAATTCTAATTTTTTATTTAATATTTTGCAAGTATAATATTGTAGAAGAAGAGCAGAGTCGGTTTATTGCTGTTAGGAAATGAATATCAATAGATTTCGCTGATATGATAAACGGCGAAGTTTTCTTTACACTATATGTTTTACTCTTCATGCATTGATCCAGAATATGTCACCTATCGATATATGTATCTAGAAGCATTACGGTTTTCACATCAACAAGCACACCTGAACACGAAACATAAAGCATAGATTAATATCCCTCAGTCGCATTTCCCCTCTGTTTTCCCCTCCATATTCAACCCCCATGTTTTCTGATATGAGACACGCACCTTACTTATGCCAATACGATGCGGAAGCACTGCTGCTAGACGCAAGCATATATAGGTGACCCAGTTTTTTTTTTTTTTTCAACGATTCGTAGTCGCATAGTGTTTTCCAGTTATGGTTTCTATTTGCAGGCAATTTTTGCTAGTAGCATACCCGAGATAATAGAGCTCGTAGGCAGTAGGTCCAAGTACAGCGGCGAGTACAAGCGGGAGCATGGAAAGAGGTATTACTATCAAATTACAATCCTACAATCCTCTATCTCTTTTGTCTATTAATTTTACTCTCCTTCCAGTATGTATATGTATATACTTATACTTATTCGTAAGAAAAAGTTAATGAACGTACGCGCGCAATACACACATTCGCGGACACATGTCCACATATGAAGATACATAACATACACACACGCACACACACACACACACACACATACGTACGATGCGCAACTTGCGCTTATACACTCGTACACGTATCTGCCGCCGCGGTGACGTTCATCATCGTTCAGTCATCCATTTTACATTAATACAGAACGTCAAGAGCTCGAGGACCGGTGATGAATGTACGAAAATTTACAGCAGTCGGAAGTGTAGGGTTGACTCGTATAACGACCGTGTGTGGTATAATCGTTGACGTTCCCTTTCGTTTTCCAATGAATCAAACGGCTCTCGTCCACGGTGAAAGGTCCAATAAAGCGAGAAGGAAAGAGTTTTATGATCGACACGAGCGAGTGGTGTTCCAAAAAAGATGGAAATGTTCGAAACCCAAAACCCCGATATCCAACTACTTCGTATAACAAACAAGAATCAATGTAACGACATTAGTTTATTTTTGCGTAATGGAAAATGTAATTAAAGTGTATGGATGGGGATTTATGAATGTATTTTTTATTTACTTTTATTATTTTCTATTTGAAAACCGAATGCAGTAAAAGCAAACGATAGTAATGTAAGCAAATGGCAATGTATTTTAATAGCGTAGCATTGAATATTTATTCTAATTAAATTAAATATTTTTATTAATTTTATTCTACGCAAAAAAACGAACAAGAAACGCAACCACAAATTCCATCTTTTCTCGGTTCAAAGGAAGCAACGGCTAAGTCATAAAATAAGCGCGATCGATTTTATTATTATCATACGTTAAGTAGAGCCTTCCATAACCAGATAAATGCTCAACCATGTGCGGCGACTAGAAATACATACTTTCAGGTATCTGTTCAACTAGTCATCTCGATTTAAAGCCGATAAAACACAATTGCGCCGTATATCGATACACTTTTTGCGCATCATTAACAAATTCCAACATTATCTTATAACTCGCTCGCTCGTTCTATTATATTATACAACACTTTCTTTATACGTTCGTGTCAATTGTTCTGTATGTATTACTAAATTAATATTGTCTTTATACGAATTTTTCAAGAAACGATAATCGATTTTTATTAACGATAATTATGTATGTTCTGATAAATCGAATGACCTTTCACCGTGTGATGCCGTGTTTAAGAAAAAAATGTGTCCAATGGCGAAGAATGCGTGTAAATCCAAAATGATAAGAGAAGCAGCTGTGCTTAGTAAGTTTATCTTATGCATGTACTTTGTATTATCGATCGGAATGGTTTTTATACCGATTATCGTTCCATTTCTACAGCACGAAGCAACAAGCATCCGCATCCATAACAACACATACATATAATACATAAGATAATATTATCAATCATAAAATAATGCAAGCAGAAAGAATTTGATGGTAACTCGGATTTGACGATATTTTTCAAATATCTTTAGATCCATCTTTCTCACCATCTTTTTGAAAATGGTTGAAAAAGTTATAATCAGTTTTATATCAGTGATTAATTAAATAGCTCTTTTTATTAATTCCATCAAATTTTTTCTCCACTAAATTCAACATTATATATATAAAAGCATATTTTTTTATCACACGTTACATGGTTTGCCACTTTAGTCTGCTACCTTTAATATATGAACATATACAAAAATACAATATTATTTATTATACTGCATCAAGTTAAGATGAAGCGTCAACTTGATACATTTTAATTTTCAAATTATTAATACAATATTAATATATCTTGAAATCAAATCATGTAAAATGATTGGAACATATTTTAATAATTTATTATATTGCGCAAAAATCATTTAAAATCATCATTTTATCTGATTAAGCGTAAATCGTCTTGCATGATTTGACTATCTATTTTACACAAAAAATACACTACATAATGCGTATACACCTAATCACATTGCAATACGCAATTTTGAAGCGCACTATATACGATAAAAATCCTAGCTTTTTTATTTATCTTTCCAATTTGTCCTCAAAAAAGGAATATTAGCCCTCTAATTTATAAAGCAACATTCTTTCGCTCCCACATTCTAAGAATAATGAAATTTAAAACGATTGTGATAATTGAAAATTGCCGGCATCATACGCTGTAATAGCACTTGCATGCTATTCAATTGATTTTTATGACACTGAGCAACAAGATGATGTAAGATGACGGCACATGTTTTTCTGTCTCTAATAACAAGAAATAGGCGGGATGATAATTGAGGTCGATTAGTACTGATGAACAGAATCAAGAATCACTGACGCGAATAGCAATTTGTAGAACGAGGAACTAACGGCACTGTGTTATGAAACGATCAACTTAATTCGCATCATTTCATAAGAATATAGAGACGAGTCGATTGCTCTTGACATTATGAAGTACTTGATTTCTTTGACATGTTATGATGTCGCTGTGCACCATTAATCTAACAATATGCACAATTTGCATCGTGCTAACACGCAATTTCATTACAATACGATCTAACATCTCATGGGCGTTAGCATACTGGCACGGTTATACTCGATTTTATTAATTTATCAATTTCTCGCGTAGGGAATCGCAGCTTAGCTGATTTATAATTCTACTTTCTTCATTTTATTCGCTTAAACAAAATTAGTTCGAAATGCAACACCTTGAGGGTGCACGAAGAATGCATCGCATTTAACAAAAGTTCTGCGAATTAAGTCGTACTTCTCTTGGCAAGAATTAATAATTTCAGGCAAATTAAGGATGCAGTGTACATGAGGCGTGAAAGACGACAAAGTACGGAAGTTAGGGGTTTATTGTGTTATTATGCACATTCTACTGAGTATTTATCGTATTTTCCTTCAACAATAAATTCGTTGCGACGTACTGATATTCCACAAAATTTGCCTTTTAAAATAAAAAATCTCGTAAGATTTAAAAATTTTTATAACTATGAAGAAAAACACTAACAAGAATTGCTTAAACTAAGAACTTAGTCTTAACATTGAAAAAGATTTTGCAAATTCCCGAAAATTAATAAAAAATTATGTCTAAACATTTTAAAAACTGAAACAAATAAAAATATGTCAAAATATTTAGTAACATTTAAAAAATGTTTTACGAATGTTTTGATTCTCCGAAATATTAAACTTTTAGTTTAATCCATTAGCACATCATTGACACACAAACAAATCAGCTATACAAAATACACAGCTATTACACAATTTTTATCGCTTCTTTTCACATGTCAAGCGTATAAAAAATTTCATTCTGTTTTTATTTAAAAATTATATTATACCATATACCATAAAACATTTTTATAATTTTTAAATGTGCTGTTTACAAGTATACATATCTTAACTTTAAGATAGTATCAATCTTTTCATAATTACACAATGTTTAGATATCATTTTGATTAACATCTATATACAGTTAAAATGTTATAAAATTAAGAAAAAAAATCAATTTAGACAATAGATTGATTGCGACAATTACTTCAATGCATTTTGTTGTTTAAAAATGTTATTATGTTTTACAGTGTGTTAAGATAATTTCAAATCTGCTATCGAAAAATGTTTATAGACATTACGATCAGCATTTGATCCATTCTATATTTGAAATTATTCACACTATCACTATGAAAAAAGTACACATTAATTCCATCGTGCAAAACACATATGCTTTAAAAGAACATTGTAGTATGATTTGATCCGCCTTTCAATCGTACTTATCATCTTTATCTTGGCAATTTATGGCTCTTTATTATGTCTTGTAACAAGCGATCAAGACGTAGCGAAACCGAAATGGAAGCAAAAGCACGAAAAGAAAGAAAATTTAAAAAACAAACACCAAAAGATTCAGGTTAGGGGTCTGTTCTGACGGCAACGGATGATTGTGGGTGTGTAGGCGGTGTTCGCCAGCTGGATCCCAGAGATCACGGAGCTCGCCGCGAATCGCAGCAAGTACGGTGGCCAGTACAGCCGCGAGCGTGGACGCAGGTATCCCAGAAAAAATCCACCTACGTGGAAGCCAGCCATAAAACAACCCTTGAAACTAGCCCTCACCCCCTCTCGCCTTATGTTGTCCCGGTAGTCACATAGATACGAGAAGTAGTGAAGTCACCCTGGATAGCGAAGTGGTCTCGTCATGCAACGTTCATCGTGACTTTTTCGTACTTTCGACATTGTCTCACTCGCTCGGTGATCATAATTTTGATCGATCCTCAACGAGAAAATATTTTCTCGTTGAGGACAAGACAAGTTTTCACAATTGGTTTCGTAAATAGTAGAGCTCTTTAATTAAGGGAGACGACGAGAAAACAACAATTGCGAGATAGATTTTTTTATTGCCGGAGACGCCGCGAGCACGATTGATGTGTTTTGCGCGTCTTCGCCTCTTGCATTTCGCTGCCGCATAAGCGAAGAAGTTTGGCGCAGCGGGGAAAAGGCGGACGGAAAGTTAGATAAACATGGTATCCGGAATAATGAAGTATTTTAACGAGTGCGCCGTCGTTCGCGTGTGCAGCCTAGTTCTGAAACTGAACTTGCGACTTTTCGGACACGAGTTTCACTTCGGCAGCGAACACGAATTGTAGCAACATTGTTTCTCACGTGTGAAAGTATCCAACTTTATCGTGAGACAAAAGCGAGGTAAGAACAATCGTTGCACGTGGTATATAAGCTTTTTAATGAAAGAAAAAAGAAATGAAAACCGTCTTTTCGAACTTACGAATGTATTCGATGTGACCACTTTCGCTACCCGCGATGAATTTAATCTCCGATTAGTGATTATGTCCCCTCCTTGCCCCCCTCGGCCCACATTACCATCACGAATCCGTGATTCTTAGAGAAATGGTATTTCGGATTTCTCGAGCCACACCGCCTCCTATTTCTAATCACCTTGCC